GTATCTCTCATTCTTGTCGCCTGACTGGTCCAACTTGCCAGTCTCATCAACGGCAAAAAGAAACGCAACGATGAAACAAAAGCTGATCAGTGCATCAAGATTGCTATCGGTCCCAAGCCCGTAATACCCACTGAGCTCGTTCTGGTCTGTTTTGTAGATGACACGGCACGGTAAGAATGCAACAGCCTCATCGGTCTATTCGTATTCGGAACGCAAAAAAGATGCAAAGGAATCCGGCTATGGTACGCTGCATCAGAGATTGGGTGCCGATTCGATCAAGGAATTCGATTGCTGCTCGATCACTTTACAACCGTGCAGGTTAGTTCCCTTTTTTTCATTTTTTGCCCTTTTTTTGCTGAGAAAATTCCAATCCCCCTCCCTTTATCCCCTCCCCCATAGGCGGATCTAGGACGAATTCCTGGGGAAAACGACGGGCAGGGGGGGGGGCAGTTACCTACACTGGAACTATGCAAAAACTAGGAATAGAGTTGTAACACTGCTACTTGGAGTTACTTTAAGCTTTTGTTTTGCTTTAGTTTTAGCTTTAGACCCGGATTTTTGCAGCACTGGTGTCTACGCCATTGGGAATGAGAGGGAGGGGGCTTATCCCCTGGATTCGCCAATGATCTCATAACCAACACGAATTACGTGGGCAGTATTTACACCTCAGGTGCTGTTTGCTTGCAAAGTTCGATCTGTGTTTACAGCCAAGGGATGAAACACTGACAAATTGCATGGCATAAAATGTCTTCTTACACATGACACTTAGTCCAGTCCCTCTATTCTACTTTTTCAGGGTTCCGGTGATATCACCGCACGGGTATATTTTTGACAGAGAGGCTGTCCTGGAGTATTACTTAGAACAGAAGAAAGAAATTGCTCGAAAATTGAAAGAATGGGAAAAGCAGTGCCAGAAAGAAGCTGAAGAAGCGGAACAAGTTTGTGTTTATTTAGCTTTTTGTTTTATTTTTTGAAAAATAACTCCATTTTTTAATCGATTATTGCCTTTTTTCGTTGAAAATTTGGTTAGAAAGATTAAGGCTTAGCTCCAGTTTGTGTTTTTCCATCATCATTCTTACATTTATCTTTTAACCTTAAATGAAATATTCTGAAGAAGGTAACCATAAATTCACAGCCTCCATCTCCCTTCTATCCGTTAACAGATGTTGAAGTTTCAAATGCATAGTTCGGTCTGTGTTTACAGCTAAGGGAAAATACAGAGACTGCATCGTAAAATATCACCTTACTACATATATACGATGAAAGACAGTTTGCACCGTAAAATATCACCTTACACATGACGCCTGAGTACAATCCAATCCTTCTATCTGTTATTTCAAAGCATCATAGGGATTTACTGTGAAATAAGAAAGCATATTTAATAGGAAGGTGAGTTAAAAACGGATGAAAAGACAAGAACAGAAAGGAAGGTAAGAGATGAGGGTCATAAAATTTGTAAATTAATAAAATTATTTTAAAAATTACAGTTCGTTATTTGCAGAGTATATTAAATATCTTGTAGAAATATATTTAAACTTTCACATTATTATTTATGTAGCTTCTTCAGGAAAAACGCCTGGACGAGGAACTGAAGCTGAAGAAATTCCGAGAGATGGAAAGTACTCCGGCACATCCGTCAGTGAAAAAACAAGATTCTAAGTTTATTTCGCCGACCCCGTCAGCTGGTGCCACTCCTTCGGGAGCAAAGGTATACGCAGGGCTTTTTAAACTAAAAGAAGAATTGTAGAAAAAACGTGTTTCCAACAATGCCTTTTCACAGGTTTACCGATTCCTCTGCATAAGTCTGCAACACTGTTTCCGATAAGCAACCCTCAGAAGTGGGGGCCATCGTCAGCCTTACCAACCTGTTATTGCTACTGGCATTTGCTACTGTTGGATTGGGGGCCTTGGAGGTCTCGTCCGGTGGCCCGGTGCCCCGGTACCTCCTCAGATCATTGGCTGGGTCGTCGATTCCTTGGTGATAATTCGGGCTATTGGAGGGACCGTGTCCTTCGTTGGCCGTTAGGGCCACCAGCACAAACTTAACACAAAAATAGCGGCCTTATATAGTCAGCTTCGCGCCATTATACATGCCTTACCTAGGAGGGAATCATGATGCAACACTACTACTAGTGCTGCTTTCTCAAATGCCTCTGCTTCTCATAGTGACTGAATACAGAGAAGTTTTTGGCTTTTTGATCAATGTATTTTAGCAGCCGTATTTTGAGACAACTATTTTGCTTATTGAATTTGTAAATCCGTAGTTATCTGAACATGAAATGGCATAGAATCATGTTGATTTTGCAGGTTAACAAACGCAAATTGCTGGACGGTGAAGGAGGACCGAGCAGTAGCAAACAGCCGAGAGAGGAGATTTCAAATGTTGCTGGCGATAAGATACATGAATACCCCAGTTTTTGGATACCCCAGCTCAATCCGACAGCTGAGGTTAAAATCGAAAAACCGGTAAAATCAATTTTTGCTTTACATCTTAAAAAAATTTCCAGTTCTTTAACTTTTTTTATTTTTCTTTTATTTTTGCTAAGTCAAAAAAGTTAAAAATGTAAAATTTATTTTTTTAAGCGCAAAAATTGCAACATTTACTGAATATTTTTTCGTAATTTTTAAGGATATACAAAAAACGCATTTTCAGATCATTTTTACTGTAGAAAACAAATTATTATTATAAGTTCTAGTTTTAAATTCAAAAAAACTCACTTCGGGAATATTGAGATCTAGTTCTTGCTGTTTTTTATGTACTCTGATATTATGAACAACTCCTGTTATATTGTCTTTTTCTGAAGGTCATGAAATAGCCAATCCTCCAATGAAATAGCTAGTCCTCTTACGAAATTTACACCTTAAAAGCCATTTAGTTCGCTTTTAAGGTGTACATTTCGTCAGTAATATTTTCTTACAGATAACGCTTGTGATGCTTTCTCTTAGTGTCGTGAATTGGAGCCTTTTCAAAAATGGCTGTGGACGGAGATGAGGTCGAACTATTCTCGCTTGCATCTGAAAGCCGCGCGCTACCCACTACATTATTGGTCCTAGTACGCCAGGCATAGTTGGAAGCTCATCTATTGTGTATCTGCCTTTCACACATGCACTGGTTGTAGCGGATGTGCTATTTCTGAAATTTTTTTTTAGGATCAGCGTGTATTGTGTCCATTGTCCGGTAAACCGCTAAAAATAAAGGAGTTAATGCCAGTGAAATTTACGGTAATGCCTGATGGCAGTGATAAGAAAAGTCTTATTGCGCGAAAAATTCGCTATATGTGCCCGGTAACACACGATGCTCTCACGAAT